TAAGAGAGAGTAAGAGAGTTATAATAAGAGAGTAAGAGATTATAATAAAGCATACAATAATCATAATACCTGGCAATATTAGGTGAGTTCCATATGAGAGTCAAAAAGAGCTATGTAACTTTAAAGGACTGAGGAATCATGCAGTATCTGACCTAAAAGATGAACATGATTATAAAATGTGGAAAAAATTTAAGAAGGAAATACATTTGGAATGGCTCTTGAAGAGATATACAATACACTAAACTTGGAATTGAGGAAGAAAAAGTTTCAAGGAATAAATACAATGGAAAGAACAACAGTTCAACTCTTAGGGACTCAAACTCTGTTCCTAAATAAGTGTTTTCCTTAAAATAATAACATTGGGATTTTGAATAGGGTTGTGCCACTGAGAAGTGAGCTCTAGAATGAATAACAGAAAGCCTCTTCTGCAGAAACCCAACAATGGATTGGTAAGAGGTCATTCTGTTTTGCAATTAAGAGGTTATTGGTGGTCATTGACAGAAGAGTTCATGTAGGCTGGTTTTATTTGTAACACAGATTGCAAAGAATGAAGTGAATGAGTAGATGGTAAGACATTAAATGCAGTCAGTTTAGACTATCCTTCTAATAATTTTAGTGGTAAAGGAAAAGAGAAAATGAGTGTGGTAGCCTGAGGTCCAAAGCAACTTCTATTTCCTTCATATTTGAGAGTTTTGATCTATGATTGCCCAAGTGAAATAGTTAAATTAGCCATTTCATTTTATCTACTCACATATTGACTGACAAAGTACACTCTGAACAGTTTGTGAAATAAATGGGGTCATTAGCCTTGGCTCTAATGAGAAATTATAGTATTTTTGCTGTAATGATAAGTTGGCATGTAAATACTTAGCATGTGAAAAAGCCTTCAGATAGCAGCTTCCACTGTTCATTACCTTATATGTGGGGTTATTTTCTTGGCAGAAAATACCATTTGGCTGTGAATCTATCATCATTAAAAGAGGAATAATGGTTTGTAACAGAATACATATTCTTCTGGAAAAACGTTAATTGTTTCATCTTTACTTTCTATGCCCTGGCTCTAATTTCCTCCTACACCCTTCTGTTTCTTTACAATTATAGGTTTTTTCTACTGGTCAGTCACCAGTAACTTTCTACTTTATGAAAATAGGACATTTTGTGTGAAAAAGTATTCCATGTCACCAGCCAACAGTTTAGAAGGCCTGCAGTTGGTAAAACAGCTCAGCCCCAATAAACTTCACAGCAAGCTTTGTTTCTCAGCAGCATAGCACATATCCAAATATTGTTTAAAGAGCACCTATATTCTTTGCATGACCAAAGGCAGGCAGGCCTGAGCACAATTGCACACAGGCAATTGATTCCCAGCTCAGAGACAATCATCCACTCATCAGTTCCAAGTAAGACTACTACTTTCCAAAGCCAACTGGACACTGTGTTGTATTTATCAGACCAGAAATCTCTCCCTCTAGATTGTAACTTTTTCTGTAAAGAGCCAGATAGTAAATATTTTAGGCCTTGAGGCTATACAGTCCTTGCTGCAACTACTTAACTCTACTGTTGTAGTGCAAAAGCAACCATAAACAATGATCAATTTTGTGATTGTATTCCAATAAAATGTTATTTACAAAAACTGGCTGCAGGCTAGATTTGACTCACTGGCTAATTTACCAATCCCTGCTCTAGAAAAAGACTCATAAATGTAACATATCCCTTAACCATCCATGAGGACCCAAGGTGGGGAACCCAGATACATTGTTGAAAAGATGTTACATTCTTAGTTGATCCCAAGTCAATTCTAGTGTTTGGATCACAGACATTTGTACTTCATCTCAAGGATTCCCCCATACCACCTTTAACTCTCTCCACCTATGTTTTTCCAGTGCCATGATATACAATCTTTTTACTTCTCTTTTGTCCTTATAGCCCACATTACCTAAAAACCCTGCTTAAGCCCACCCTATGGCTCCCGACTTTACATCTCTCTAGGTTATGATTTCTAGAATTTGCCTTTGGCTCCAAATACCTTGACTCAAGAAAAATGTATTTTATTTCAGATCCTGAAAGACCAACTAGAGAAAGAAGCGTATACACTTAAATTATATATTTTCTTGCCCAGTTATGAAAGATTTCTTCATTTATCTTCTTGCTGCTCAAGGGTGAAGTTGCTATACCAGCCCCAAAGTATCTTCAGCCCTGGTCTGCAGCACACCATTACACCACTCTACTTTCCTCTTAGCCCCAACTTTCAACCTTTAAAATCTCAATATAGTATAGAGGAAAGGAAAAAAGACTATAAATCAGATGATCTAAATTCCAATTCTGACTTACTCTGGCCTTAGGAAGGTTACTACCCTGCCTGTTAAAATATGTTACCTTTGGGTGGTGGTTTCCCAGCTGTGCTTCAAAGAATCTTTAGACCTACTGAGATCATCATTTCCTACCATGTGGTGAAAATTTAAGTTGTCTGAGGAATAGTTTTAGCTGTTTTCCATATTGAAGACATAATGAATA